AGCAGAATGAGAAAGTACTAAATTTAAATGTAAAATCTTACAGGCTTTCTAACTTAAAAGAGATAAGACCTCTCAAAAGCTGATCATTGATAAAATGGGCAGTGTTAGATGTTTGAATTGTTCATTTACTAACTAAATCTGAGTTTGGACTATAAAACCAAAGTAGTTGGTTCTGCTTTGTTAGGATCTTGGAAATAGATTAGTTGGACCCACAGTGTTTTAATATCCCAGCATTTAAAGTGATGAGCACCAGTGAGATGAATTCATTTTTGTTTTAGTAGTTAGAGAATGAGTTTTGCTTTAGAGGTTGCTTGATGGGGATATTTGCATGTGAAAACCCAGCCAGAGTCTCTAATCAATTTATCCAAAAGTAAACTTACCATCTTCTCCTTCAAATTGTCTTCTCTTTTGGTTCCTGACTCAGTCACTTTTGAAGTTGATAGGAAGCAATCTGCTTGGAAAATTAAAAGAAGAAAAAAGTTTTTTTCTAAAACTAAATCTTATTATGACATCTCCTATCTATGTATGTAGCCTTTATTCTTTCTATGGGGAAAATTGATAGAGGGAAAAAAACTTTATAGGAGGTTTCTTAATATTTTCTGGTATAATTTTGATTATCCTCTTATGTTCTGACCCAGTATTTTACAGTTCTTTTGAGTAAATTTCTAATGTAAAATAAAAACAAAAATTTACATGTGTTGTTTTAGACAATTTACAACCATGTCCTCTGAGCTAAATATAGCCTGTTGCTTTTTTTCTTTTTTTGGTGGCACTGGGGTTTGAACTCAGGGCTTCCTACTTGCTAGGCAGGCACTCTACCACTTGAGCCACTCTGCCAGCCCTGTTTTCTGTGTTGGGTATTTTCAAGGTAGGGTCTTACAAACTGTCTTCCCTGGACTGGCTTTGTTGAACCGCCATCTTCCTGATCTCTGCCTCTTGAGTAGCTAGTATTACAGGCATGCCCAACCCTGTTGCCTTGTTTTTATAAAATAAATTTATTGAAACAAAGATGAGCCCATTCATTTACATGTTTTCTGTGGCTGCAGAGTTTAGTAGTTGCAGCAGACTGCATGACCTGGAAAACTAAAAATATTTACTAACTGTCCATTTACAGAAATATTTGTTGACCTTAGTTAGGGTCTTCAAAAAAAAATACTTTTTCAGCATAAGTGAGGCTATGCTGAAAAGATTTGCTACTGTGAACATTGTTATCAAATCTGTGCACATAAGTGCTTGCTGAATGAATATTGATTGGTAATTTAAGAAATTTTGGGGCTGGGGGTGTGACTCAAGTGGTAGACCACCTGACTAGCAGGTGCAAAACCCTGAGTTCAAACCTCAGTGCTACAAGAAAAGAAAAGGAAGGAAGGAAGGAAAAGGAAGGGAAGGGAAGGGAATTCCATATACACATGAAATTATTTTATAACGTGTTCCCCTATCAAAGCAGCTTATATACCTGCTCTTAAATTGTGCTTTGCCTAAAGAGTGTATCCTGATTTTTAAGCTCAAAGCAGCATATTAATATTTTGTAGTTATTCTCTACTTAGTAACTGAACCAAAATTATTTTTCTTATTACTTAGCAACCTAAGATGAGAGATCAAGTCTTCATGTGTTTATTTATTTAATTGTTTGTTTGTTCATTCATTCATTCGTTGGTAATACTGGGGATTGAACTCAACACCTTGTGTTTATTAGGCAAACACTCTACTACTTTGAGCCATGATCTCAGTCCTTTGTGTGTTTACTGATGTTTCTTTCACTAACAGTGCATACAGTATAACTCATTTTTTTAGTAAATTTAAAAGCCTTATTTATCAGTTCCCTGGCCAACAGTACCAGTAATCTGCATAAGTGCCAGCATCCATAATCCATGTCTTTTCTAAAACCCCCAAGCAATTTATGTATGAGCCTTATTCATTTTCCACTCCAAAAAGTGGGGAGATTGGGACATATGCAAAAAAACGTGGGGTTTTTTTGTTTTGTTTTGTTTTTTCTTCTTTGCATGAGAAAAATATAACTGTATTTGGTTTTATTCATTAATGTTTGCTCTGTAGTATAATTGCATGTACAGCTTTATTTCTGTTACAAAAATGTCTGACTCCTCTTGCTGAACAAGCAGTCTATTAAAGCATGTCCCAATTTAATCTCTCCGCCATTAGTTCAGCCTCTTCACATTGCTTCTGTGAGCAGTTTTTTTAAACCACAATCAGTCATCCACACTATTTAAAACTCTTTGTGGCTCCTGTCACCTTTACAGCTCTTCAAGATGGCAAATGTGAACTTCTATGATCCGGCACCCATCATCATCTCCAGCCTTGTCAATTTAAATTTTTTTTTTTTTCCTGCCTGGAACCCAGAAGGGTTTTTTTTTTCCTTTCTTTTATTTTATCATTTCTACATTTACTTACATGTGTATTGTTTGGGCCACTTCCCCACTCCTCCCAACCCCCGTCCCCTTCCAGGCAGAACAGCCTCTTGTTCTATGGTTTTGTTGAAGAGATGAAGAGAAACATAAGAGATAAGAAAGACATAGTATATTTGCTAGTTTGAGATAAAGATAGTATACAGAGAGATTCCTAGTGTTGCTTCCATGCACTTGTGTATTACAACCCACATTGGTTCATCTCTACTAGACTTCTTCACTACTTCCCAGTCACCTTCCCATAGTGGCCTCTGCCAGTTTAAGATTACTGTATTCACTCCTCTACAGTGAGCACATCAACCACATTCAAATTTTAGGTTTCCTTCCCTTTCCCTGTTCCTCCCGTGTGCGTTCTCCACTTGATGTTTGACCCATGTCCAGTAATACTACTGCATTTGTTCTAGGTCTATAATCCGCACATGAGGGAGAACATGCAATTTTTTGCCTTCTGAGCCTGGCTAACTTCGCGTAAGATGATGTTCTCCAGTTCTATCCATTTACTTGCAAATGACAAAATTTCATTCTTCTTTGTGGCTGAATAAAATTCCATTGTGCATAAATACCACATTTTCTTAATCCATTCGTCAGTAGTGGGGTATCTTGGCTGCTTCCATAGTGTGGCTGTTGTGAATAGTGCTGCAGTAAATGTAGGTGTGCAGGTGCCTTTGTAATAACCTGAGTCCCATTCCTTCAGGTATATCCCTAGGAGTGGTATTGCTGGATCATGTGGCAGATCTATGTTTAATTTTTTAAGAAGCCTCCATATTGTTTTCCAGTGTGGTTGTACTAGCTTACATTCCCACCAGCAGTGCATGAGGGTTCCTTCCCACATTTGTTGGTGGTGGTCCTGATGCTAGCTATTTTAACAGGAGTGAGGCGGAATCTTAGTGGGTTTTGATTTGCATTTCCTTTATGGCCCGGGATGGTGAACCAAAAACATATGACAGAACAAACAGCCTGTTCAACAAATGTTGCTGGGAAAAGTGGTTATATGCCTGCAGAAAACTGAAACTAGATCCCTGCATGTTACTCTATTACTATCAACTCAAAGTGGATTAAGGACTTTAGTATCAGACCCGAAATCTTGCAGTTAGTTCACAAAAGAGCAGTGAATACTCTGGAAGCAATAGGTGTAGGCAAGGACTTCCTCAGTAGAATCCCAGCAGCTCAGCAACTAAGAGAAAAGATGGACAAATGGGACTACATGAAATTAAAAAGCTTCTGTACAACAAAAGAAATGGTCTCTAAATTGATGAGTCCACCCATAGAGTGGGAGAAAATATTTGCTAGCTATATATCAGACAAAGGACTGATAACCAGAATATACAGGGAGCTCAAAAAACTAAACTTCCCAAAAATTAATGAAACAATAAAGAAGTGGTCAGCTGAACTAAACAGAACTTTTTCACAGGAAGAAGTCCACATGAAAAAATGCTCACCATCCCTGAACATAAAGGAAATGCAAATCAAAACCAATTTAAATTTTATACCCCTCCTTTGAAATATTGATGCTTATAGCTGCACCAGTGGTGTTTCATTATTTTTCACATTTGCCCAGTATTGCCTAGAATGCCTTTCTTCCTTCCCCCTTTAAGCACAAGCATTTATAACTGATGTTTATCCTTCAGTTCCAAAGTTGCCTCCTCTAGAAAACATCCCTGAAGTTCCTCTCCTTTAAGCAGTTAATGCATCCTCCTTCTATGCCCTGTATGGTTACTTTCAAGTAGTGCACTCCAGAGAAATTATCTTTTTATTTGTTTGTGTCTCTTACTAGATTGTAAATGCTATGAAAGGCAAAGGCCATGTTGAAGTTACTTATGTGTCCCCACCATTCACCTAGTGTTTGAGGCCTGGATTTAGATACTAATAAATCTCACCAAAAACACTAGTTGTAGTCCCTTACTTTGTTTAGATTCCATGATTCATCATAGTTATGTCCTTATAAAATACTTATCTTTTGTCTGTACTCTCTCTTTCCTTCCTTAGCACTCAAAAAGACCCAGCTGCTTTAATTCAAATGGGCCCTCAGCCCTGCATGGCAATTCTATTCCCTTGCTCTGAAATCTTCAAAACTCTTTTAAATCTTCTCATTTCAACTTCAAAGTTCTAAATCCACCCTGCTTCACTGGGCATAAAGAATTAGTCAGAAAAAGACTTTACTCTTTCCACCAAAAAACTACCATTCTACCATCATTCCCTCACAGCTGGGATCAAATCCATAGCCTTTCCTTGGGTTGCAATGTGCGAAGTTCCAATCTCCCTTTGGTGCTTTGGATCCCAACCCCACTCTCCTGAGGGATTTTGTTTCTGCAATTACACCTTCATTTCCTGTCATCATACAAGAAGCATCCTCTAGGATCTCCTATCCAAAAATTGTTAAAACTCA